TGCGATTATTCCGTAATATATTTCAAAAATGTTAACGAGTAATCGGTCAATCATTAGAAAATTAATAATTAGATACTCATAAAATGTATGCATATTTAAAGAAAATAACAAGAGATAAGCTAAGATAAGCTACTCGACACAAAATATATGGAAATGTACAAATATTTGGAATGTTTCGAATTAGTTTTAAAGTAATAATTTAAAACTACTTTTTTGTAAATAGAGAAATTCAAAGATTCAAAGACAGAACTTTTTCCTCTCAATCTACTATAGTATAATATCTTTAAGGTGAGAGTTTAATTGCGTTTAATTTTATTTTCTAATAAATTTGAAAACTATACAAATTAAAGAGCTAAGCTTTTGTTTTTGAAATAAATCAGAGCAGTTGCTGACGCCAATATAAATAATGTAACTTTGATAATAATAAAAATAAAAGTGTAAACAATTATAAAAAAATGTAATTTGATTTTTTCAAGGGGTCAAGCAAATACTCTATTAATAATCAAATACAATTACCTTAAAACCAATTCTCAAATCAATGTAATATAGAAGAAAATTGAGAAATAAAATACCAACATTTTAGTTTAGGCCCTCGTCGATAAGGTATGTGCGTGAATATGCCCATATTAAGCAGAATCTTTGATAAAAATTAGAAACGACAAACCTTTCAATTCGATTTTTTATAGAAAGCGTACCTTTAAACTCAAAGAAGTAATGTTTGGACAGAAATCGATGATTTTTTCTTTGAGATTTTTTTTATATCGTTTTTTTTAAAAACTCGTCATACTGGGCGTATTACTAACCCTGTCGTTAATATGCCCATAGGGTGATCCTAATATGCCCATGTCATGTTCCTAATATACCCATTATTTTATTTTAACAAAAGCATACAACCTTCGTCGGTTAAGTATATTTTTTCGGAAAAACAATGCATAAGGATAACAAACTAATAAACATACCAAAAATTAAAATATTTCTGAAAAACTAAACATTACTTTACACTGATAAGTAGACAGTAAAATTTTTGACAACCTTAGCCACAGTCTGAACAAACAAAAACTGTCATATCACCTTTGGTGAGCCCAACGCACTCTTCGTGAAAGTAAACTAAACACATCGAGCACAATCGCATATCTTTTTTTATGTCTTCTTGACAAACTATGCAGTACCACGATTCTTTGGGTTTTATTTTTTCTCCTTTATCTTCGTTTTTTAAAACGATTTTTTTTTCTTTGGTAAGTTTTTTTGTGGTTTTGGTGGGAAAAACTGCCTTTTTCACAATAAGCGCTTTGCTGTTAATAGCTTTTTTCTTTCTAGTTGTTTTTGGGACATCTTTATATGGTGTCTCCAACATTTCAGTAAAACTCACGTTTAAAACCTTTTCTTCTGCATCGTTTCTTGTCTTTGTGTTATTTTCTTCCTCTTTAGACGGGTCCTTTGATTTTTGGTCCTCATCTTCTCTCTGGATGTTTTTGATTAACTTCTGGTTTTCTGCGTCCATTTTTAAATTCTTTAACGCCCTTTGTTCTCTGATGTTCGGCCTTTTAGCCTCTTCGTCATCCAATGTTGCCGATTCGTCTTCCGAAGAGAACGTTTCTGTTAAGGTCTCGCTGTATAAAGACATATTATCATCTGTTGATGAGGAACTACTTGATGACGACCGTTTTCTCTTACTCTGGTGTTTTTGTCCAAAATATTCAGGATAATTGGAGATCTTTGACGGAGGAGTTTTTTCTATCGTGCTTCGGTCATTCCTTTGTTGACATCCAGAGGGTCCAGGTTGGGGTGTGCTTTCCCTTCTAAGCTCTTGTCTTTCTTCTAGTCTGTTAATTTCTTCCATGTTATTATCTCGTTCCGTTAAAATGCTAGGAGGAAAAGCTACTTCGGGAATAGCATCTGGATTGTACGGATAGATACCCGTAGCAGAGAAACCTGATGTTATATTTTGGGGTGTTACTGACTTGTCCCAAACGATAGAGAAGAGCTCCCCAAACCTTTGTTTGGTTATAGCTCGGTCTTTGTGGCGAGTCCAGTATAAAAGTACCTGTTCATCCCAATGATGTTCGAAAGATTTAAATACAGCCTTCTCTATTGGCTGCAGTTCATGTGTCGTATTACTTGGGAGACATAAAAGGGTGATGCCATAAGAGTCTGCAGTTTCAACAATAGAAGGATCTAAATGGCAAGATGCGCCATCAAAGATTAAAAGGCAGTTGCCTGGAAGTTTATATTTGCCAAAGTGCTTTAGCCATTCGTTAAATGATTCAATTGTCATGCTTGCTTTCTTCGTCATGAGGACTAGAGTTCCGGGTGGCAAGTTGTCACTCCATTCGCTTTTCATCCTTATGCCTTTGAATAAAATGGCTGGGGGAATTTTTCCTCCACTGGCGTTACCGCAAGCAACGACAGTAACATTTTCCGCGTGTTCTGGTGCCACTAGGTGAACCCTTTTTATGCCCTTTTTAGCTAGAATAGTCTGCTGATGATGTAATGTTAACCTGCACCCCTTTTCATCCATATTATAAATTCTTTCAGGTTTATCCATTAAGTCCAGTTCGAGAAGCACTGTTTTAAGCTTGTCAAAGTAATCGGAAACAATATATTTGTTGAGCTTTCGTGCTCTCGCCGGGTTCATGTTCTGGGCCCATCTAGGAGAAATCTCTGAATGTCTATTTAAAAATGCTTTTAACCAGTGACGGCCAGCTAGACGCTTTTCTTGTGAGAACATGTTAGGTAAACCGTTTTGCTCACAATAATGATACACAGATCTTCGAAGCATTCGTTTTGTAAGTGGGTAACCCACCTGCGCCAGCCTGATAATTCGGGCCGCTAATTCTGTTTCTTGGTCTTTATTCAGAACACTTTTTCTACCAAGTGGCTGTTTTACGTTAGCCTTTTTGTCAATATAACGCTTAAGAGTCCTTCGCGGTATTTTATATTGCTTAGATGCTGAGTTTTTCGACTCTTCGTTTTCTACCGCTCTAAGGGCGCGTTTAAGGTCTTCCTCCGTCCACTCAGACCGAATTCCTTTTGTTTTATAAGGTGACATCTGTAAAACAAAAATTTAAACTAATAATAAACGTTCCACTACGAACCGAAGGTAATATGCCCATATGGGCATATTTGCTTCCGATGACGATAAGCGTATTAGCAACAGAGAAAGGTTATGTATTTTTTTAGGTTTTGAAGGTTAATTTCAAAGTATTTTTATTAAAATTATATACTAAGAAAATGGTAAATAGACGTACTTTAAAATGCTTTACTTACAATTTTTGTAAACAAACACACACAAAGTTTACACTCTTTTTAAACACGTGTTATTGTTATACTCGACAGCGCTCAAAACGGATGATTCATTTTCAGCCACTGGGCAAAGACTAGCAGAGACTGATTTGACTTGTACCGCTGTAAGTGCAAAATCTTAACGCGTTGGTCGCCCTCTATTAGCATATACGCTAAACTTTTTAAAATGGCAGCGGGTGTGCATATTACCTGACTGGGCATATTCACCGCACCTACCTTAGATCTAAAAACAAGCAAGTCGAATCGTTATCAACCATTTTCGATCATTCAACACGTACACCATTCGGAGTAAAGTTTTGATATATCTAAACTGCAAACAGGAGACGAAATACTGACTTTTCCAAGGCCTTTGATCGCCTCGATCATAGTATACTTTTGAACAAGCTTTCCATTGTTGGACTCACTACGTCTTTTCTGCGTTTCTTTGAATCATATTTAAGTAATCGTAAATTAAAAGTTGAATACCATGGTTTTCAGTCAATTTGTATAAAAGCTTCTTCCGGTGTCCCTCAAGGTTCAGTTCTAGGACCACTTTTATTTTCCATTTTTGTAAATGACATTACTGAAGACCTATCATGTAATACTCTACTCTATGCCGATGATTTAAAATTGTTTAAATCAATCTCTAGTATTGATGACTGATTATACAGGAGAACCTAAATAAATTGAACCTTTGGTGTAATTCTAACAACTTACCACTAAACATATCTAAGTGCAATTCTATCAGCTTCCCTCGCAAACTAAATCCGATTGAGTATAATTCCACTGTCAACAATATTACCATCAATAAATGTCTTTCTTTTAGAGATCTTGGTGTTCTTTTCGACACTAAGTTAAACTTTATTGAACATGTCAATACTATTCAAAAAGAAGCATAAAAAAATTTGGGTTTTGTCATTCGAAATGGACGCCAGTTCTCTAAAAACTGTTTCTAACGCTTTTGTACGTAGTAAGCTAGAATATGCGTCCATTGTTTGGAGTCCTGGATATGAAGTACATAGCCAGGCATTAGAAAAAATTCAGCGAAAATTTGTCAAATATTTGTGGTGCAAGCTAGATGGCGTCTACCCTACTCGCAATATACCGCAAACCATCCCAGGCAGCACACTGACGTTACAGAGACGTCATTTATTGGTCATGAGTTACGTCATTTTTCACCAAAGGTCTGACGTCAAAATGACGTCCAGCTCACGTCATTATGTCACGGCACAGTGACGTCATTTTGTAACGTTACTGTAACGGCAATTTGTGACGTTACTGCAACGTCAATTTGTAAAGTTGCTGTGACGTCAATTTGTGACGTTACTGTGACGTCAATTTGTAAAGTTGTTGTGCCGTCAGTTTGTGACGTTACTGTGACGTCAATTTGTAGAGTTGCTGTGACGTCTATTTGTGACGTTACTAATACGGTGGCTCTGTAGGGATTATAGGAAATAATATTACTAATAAATAATAACAGCTTTTATTATAAATTTGTATAAAAAATCATTAAAACTAAACATGACTTCTGAAAAAAATGGGATGCAAATTTCGGCTGTCATTTGATAACGGAATTTAAGAACATTAAAAACAAAATAATTTCTATTTAAAAATCACACAAGACATGACAGCGATAATTTTGTTTACCCTGAAAATTTTTTCCTTGAAAATAACATTCAAATATTTCTTGAAAACACCGTTAAAGGGAAACATTTTCTTCCCCAAAAAACATATCCATACTTAACAAAAAGCATTTTTTAATGTATCAGTTAAAATTCAAAATGTATGTGATTGCAGTAATTACTAAAGGTATGTAAAACATAAAATTTTATTACCGTTACATTTCTTTAATATATTTTTCTTTAAAATTTTTGGAGGCCTTTCCAATGCACTTTCTTCATTACTCTCATCCTCGCTGCTACTACAAAATTTTTTTTTTGCTCGCACTCTTTCTGGGTGCTTCCTCATCAAATTCTGAATTTAGGTCACTTGAATTTTCTGCCTGTTTTAATTTTCTTCTCCCCTTTTCCAAATCATCTAAAAAAATTACATTCATTTAAAAAAAAAATGTAAAAACTTTTTGTTCACTCAAAGAATTAAATATACTACATTCACAACATAGTTTTGTTAAGGTTTTAAAGAATACTTTTTATTCATTTAACATAAATATTATAAACATTGTTAAAACCCGTTAATATAAGAGTTAATTTTTCATTGGTAGTAAGTTGTTGGAATGATATAATAAAGCCCACATTATAATAATTTTGTCCTGCATATAGAATATTAACAAATGTAGTTTTCTTTAAATGATATATAAAATTTCTGTTACCCATTGACAACAATTTTATAGTTAGAATAAAAAAAATTATAACATTTATAGTATATTTTTATCTTCAACTAAATTATACTTTGTTAATTTTACACAAACAGCTGTAAATGTTACATATCTAATATTACAACATATGATAAACTTTTACAGAAGAATATTCTTGTCATAATAAAATGATTTTAAAATAAGACTAACAATATAGTATTAATACTTAAATTGTAGGTACTGATATTAAATCAGAAATGTCATGCGAAATTAATGTACTGTCTACTGTCCACTGTAAACTTGACAAAATAAGTATTACATAAAAACAATATTTTGTTAGTGTTCTACTTCAACGTTTTTGATTCTTGATGTGAAGGGATTTGTCTTATTATTGGAACTAGTTGTAGTAGCCACTTTTAGTTGATATTGTAATGGTTATAAAGAAGATTAAAAATGTTTTCGCAGAAACAACACAACAAAAATAACTTTAAAAAATAGCTAAGTACCTTAATTAATTAAGAATACATATTTTATAAGTAGTAGGTAATTATCGCTACATTTTTCATTGAATTTACTAATAAAAAATTTTGATTGTTGATATCCAGTTGGTTATACTGTATTCTCCAATTTAATTATTTTTATATCAGTATTAAACTACGAAAGTATCAAACTAAAAGTACATTTATTGTCAGCCTGATTTTGTTTTAAGCTCAACATAAATACAAATTTAAGGATTTTAAAGCAAAACCATTTATACAGAAAGTTTAATCATAAGCATAAGATTTTTTAACAAATTATAAATGAAAAAGAGAAAAGACATAACATATGGTAGCTGTTTCTAAAATTCCTCTGCTAACTCTATCAATTATTATTCAAAAAATGTGGAAAGAATTTTAGAAGTTCGAAAGTTAGGAAAATAGCTTAACCTCACTTTTTAAAGACAAACGTACAACAATTGTATTATCGACATACATTTAGGCTGGATTTTATTTTTCTTCACTATGTTTATGTTAATTTTATGCTTGTTATTCTGTATAAACAGGTACATTGAAATGTATTTAATTTATCTTTTATGTTAATGTCTATATATTATATTAAAGCTTAAAACTAAAACAGGCTGACTAAAGGCTTAAGCTTCATACTCACTTAGGCGAAATTCGCGGATTTTTGACATAATGTGTCAAATCCATATTTAAAAATATTCTGAATTTGACACATTATGTCAAAAATCCGCGAAATTCGCCCTAGTGAGTATGAAGCTTATATCTTTTAGAGCAACTTACCAGTTTCATAAAAAATTCGCTTAACACCATACAGACTCCAAGACTCATTTACTTCCTCTCCATTTTTAAGCGATTTGTTAAAAGTATTTAATTCCTTGTAGGGCGGCCAATAAACTCTTCTTTTACGTGGTGTCAACCATTTACGATGAATTAATGCTAGGCCACCCCCGCATTCATCGGAAAATTGAATGACTAAGTACATGACTAAAATATAAGAATTTGAATGCTCTAAAACAAATAATAAGAGGAATATATCACCGAATAACACTAAAACACAACGAAAGGCCCGCAAAACTTTGTCGTCCACTTTCCAAATTGGAAATCATGAAACGAGACGCTGGCACTGAGCACTAATGGCGGCATTACTATGCACGACTATAAGGCGAAGGCGGGAGAGATAGCGTGGGTTTTTTGTTGTTTAGTTTTTCACTTTAAAAGTGACCATCTGTCTTTAAAAATGCCACTATAGTGATAAGAAAACACGAAGAAGCTAAACTGGAAAACAATATTTTAAATTAAATATCTTTAATGTTAATGCTGAACTTCACATTCAGAAACGAAGAACGAAAGTCCGAATCAAAAGTAAACCATAACACAACTTTTTCTTCTTTTCTCTTCTTTGCTTTCTCTTAGTTAGCTGGCACCCAATCGGCGATCAGCAAAATAATAAAAAAATATACTATTTTCTCTTAAAGGGTGACAAAAAACTGTTTTTTGTCACTCCGGAAAAATAAAATCACCAAGTTCGTTAACACTTTTATTCGAGTTAAAAATTATAACCATACTGTGACGTATATATGACGTAAAATAATGACGTGATACTGACGTTACATTTATGACGTCTTTGAAACGTCATTTTTAGGTAATGTGACGTCAGAGACTAATTATCACCAAAAAATGACGTCTCTGTAACGTCAGTGTGCTGCCTGGGATCTTGCTGAATAGATTTGATATCCTTGAATTATGTACTCGCAGGAAATGTTATTCCATCTGCATTCTTTACAAATTATTAAATTTTAAAATTGACTGTCCCAAACTACTTCGTCAACTAATGTTTAATGTTTCTAGTATCAGAACTCGCTCCCCTTTGTATTTCTATTTTCAGACACCCAGGACAAATATTTTAAAATGTTCTCCAATGTATTTTATGTATCAAAATTTTTGTGAACTTCAAAATGATGTTGATTTATTTTCTATTTCAATTAGAGAAATAAAACGCTTAATTGTGGACTGTGTTAATTATCATAAGACAACGTAATTTTTTCTCCTAACGGAGTTTTTTTTGCGTTTTCTTATGATGGTTAAAAACGTATATTAAACTATTTTTTGTTTATATATATTTATGCTATTATTAGTATTTAATATTTTGTTATTATTTTTATGATATAAATTATACTGTAATTGTAATTATTTTTGTGCCCATCCTGTAATTGGTTTTATACTGTTGGATGGTGTAACCCAAATAAATAAATAAATAAATACTTGAGAAAGGAGTGGGACGTTTAAATGGTGGTACAATAAACTGCAAGCTGCAGTGACACCACGCTACAAATGGATTAGGGTAATACTACGGAAGGTCCAATGGGTGTAAAATAAAATAAAACCATTCCTAGCATTCATTTTTCAATTTCAAGATCATGTTTTTTTGTTAATATGATCAAATTTATCACCCTCACTTCAGTCATATATCATATTGATTTTTTTAGGCTGTATTTATATGGTCAAAATGGTAAAAAAGGCCGACTTAATAATGGAAATATTTTACTATGTAATACAAATTTAATTTCTTATTTTTGTAGGCGGTAGTTTAAATCAACCGCTTGTCAAACCACGCACACGTTAGAAACAGGGAAAATGAGTCTGTTATTTACAATTTTGACCAATACATCGTATAATATCGTTGACATGAAGCGAAAAATGTATCACATTAAAAAAATGTGGTGGCGTGGTTTGAAACATAAATGATAATGGTGGTTTCCAGCGGGTAGTTTTATAAGAGGTTGATTTGGATTCATCAGGTAAAACACTTTTATCCCTTTTAACAGTTATCCAGAAACATATGGGACACCTGGTATATACATGTTAGTGATACTCCCCTTGTACCCCAACATTATTGACCACGTGTCACTGTTAATTATCAATACTCCTGGCAAGTCAGGACGGACGAACGGAGAGCAGCGGAGGGGAGCAGCAGTCGGAGTCTTAAGCCTTGGTTTCTTTGAACACTTCGTCGCGGTGAGCGGACAGTCCGTCAACCGTCGCGTTTTGACGATTTTATCCAACCAGAGTATTTAAATTGGAATGGTTTTCTTGAATCTGCTTAGCTGAACAGGACGGCGTCATGCCGCTGATTTGTCGCGAAGAGTCGGTTGATATCTGTTGAGTTTGATATCAGCGGAATCGTCGGCGTGTGCGGAGACTATATAGTTATTAATTTTAAAACAATGAGTGACAAATTTACACATACAGATGACATCATGACTTTATTTTTAGGTTTCTTGGAAATTATGTCCTTTATAAAACTCAACACGAATTCAAAAAGATCTGTAGAAAGTCTAAAATACTCCCTAAATTTGGTTTCATTTCCAAAAAGCCTCCGCTGCACAGTGATATTAAAGGCACCTTCTGCATCGCGACAGAAAAACAACTCATTCACTGGCTTATTGGAAACTTTGACGGTTGCAATTGCCAGTTCCTCTTGTTCTTCCTCTTCCAACAATAATAACGCAAACAATTTATTTGCAACCATTTTAGTACCTTTCGTTTACATTCATAATACATAAACAGTACGTACAGACATAGAGAAAGTATCATTTTATATATTTTTTAACAAACCACCTCGGGCGAAAATTGCTGTCCTCAGCGGTCGACGGACTGTCCGCTCACCGCGACGGAGTGTTCAAAGAAACCAAGGCTTTAGCTCGACCGCGTAGCCACGCAATAACATATAGAATAGTGTAATACTAATAAATAAACAGTTGTGGTGGTTTAATGACTTTTATTGGGGTTAATTATCCCTTACCTTGACATCAGAAGTGAGATAGTACCGTGTCCAGTGCCGAACAGACAATACGAACTAAAAAAAAAGACCGTGTCAAACAGTTATCTCTAAAAATGGAGGTCAAAAATTGTGCAAATAGTGTCTCGCCAACGCTGTACCAGATTCGGATGGAGGTGTTGCATCACCAAGTGTCGATCCTTATCCTCAACTTTTAAGGTACAGTACAGTGGCAAGAAACCTTAATTAATTTAATCGTTGCCCAGCAACAACAAATCGCTGAATTAACAAAACAGACAAAGAGTGCGATATTGCGATGATGTCATCGTCATCTTTACAGGCAACGCCCAAGCTTCTCGTAGCAGATGGATCAAATACGCAAGCGTCGACATCAAACTACACATTTAAATGTTAGTGATACTCCCCTTGTACCCCAACATTATTGACCACGTGTCACTGTTAATTGTCAATACTCCTGGCAAGTCAGGACGGACGAACGGAGAGCAGCGGAGGGGAGCAGCAGTCGGAGTCTTAGCTCGACCGCGTAGCCACGCAATAACATATAGAATAGTGTAATACTAATAAATAAACAGTTGTGGTGGTTTAATGACTTTTATTGGGGTTAATTATCCCTTACCTTAACATACATTAATGTATTTTAGTATACTATTGTTTAAATTTAGTATTCTGTGTGTTTTGCGTTATTCCTTTAGCGGTTTGTTTCATGACATGCCGAAAACAAAAAACATATTTTTTGTTGAAGAAAATTGTATTCTCGGTTTCAAAGCGGTAACGCCATATAGGTATACCGCCGACAACAAAAAAACTTTAAAACAGCCGCCAAAATGGGTTTGAACTATCCCGCAATCGCCGCCAAGTGTGGCTCGAAGTTTAGTTAGTCATATAAGAATTTTGTTAAAAAGAGATAAATAGATACAATGATATAGGCACATAAGTTGTATTAAATAATAAGGTAAATATAAAGGAATACCGCAAATGCAAAAAGGTCGGCCACTGCTTGAAGTACTCGAAAAAAATTGGTGTACAAAACGAATTGTTAGCGGGAAGTCAACTAGCTAAAAACATAAACAAATCGACCTCTTTGATTTACCGCCCATAGACGGAGATATATTGTTTTACTTAAAATGTTATTCGTATATATTATTCATCATTGAGTCAAAAAAAAATACTTGATTTCAATTCTTTTTTCCGCATTGAATAATGATTTTTTATTTCACTAATTAATTAATATAATTAATCTTAGAAATTGAAATGATTGTTGAATATGTTTTTTTTTGCAATGAGCCTATCCGACATTTATTCTTAGTAAGTATTTAATAAAAATTTTCTTTTAATTTGTCTTACAAAGTAACATTTTTTTGTAATCTAAAGTGTCCAAATAATCCATACCTACTTTAAGTAACTAGTTACATAAATTAAACTGGTTGTCATAATTATGTTCATTATTGAAAAAGAAAATAAAAAAAAACATGTTTGGTATTTAAATTAATATATGTATAGGTGCCTTTGAAAGTATACATGGAAAGAACGAAGACTGGTTATATAAAAATACATTTGGACAATGTGCTAAGGTACAATTAGTAATAATTAGTAAAATTAAAATATCCCTAATTATGTATTATGCAAAATAACCCATTTTCTTGACAAGAAAAAAGAAAACTGTTTGTGATGATAAATATTTAAATATTTTAAAAGTATCAGATTGGTGTGAAGTTGACTATTATTTCCAAATATTCATTTTCTAATATCTTTAATTGAAAGTACAAAAAATTATCGGTCAGTCATTTTTTTCCAAACAATTCTATAAATAGAAAAAATTTAAACAAACTAACTAATATTTAAATAATAAACACACATCAAGACGCCACTGGCTCTTCCTAATTTCTTCTGCTTCTACATGTTGTAAGCGACCAGCTCGTCTATACCGGTTAATCTTAGCAAAGTAGAGAAAGATAATGAATAATTGGAATACTGTATATTTCATACAGAGTTAGATCATATTATTTTTAAATATTATTTTCGTAGTATACTAATAATGTCAAAAAGCATCGTATAATCAATACGCCCGGTAGTCACTCCTTTTTAAAAATATATTGAGATATAAAAAATATAGTAATTTTTTTTGGAGTATCTTCAACATAATATTATCCTATTAATATTATCATGTAAAACCCAATGTTTCTCGTAATTAAAAAATACACCAGTCCTTTACATTGGCATGACATATAGTGCTAAAGTTAAGACTCAATCCCCTTCCATTTCTAAATTCCGTTATTTTTAAAACAAAGATGCATTTTAATAAAATATTTTTGTGCCAATACTATTTCTATTCCTACGAAAAAAAAAAAAAAAATAAGAGATATCGGGATTTATAATATGTATCGGCTTCACTGCAATATATCCGTCGTGTCCACAAAATGCGTTCATCTGCGAGTCAGTAGCAGAAGCTTCTGTTGTCCAAATTAGGGAAAATAGGAGGTCGTATTAAACTGCCGCCTTAATTTGATTGCAAAAAGTGGCATGTCATATTTTTTGCATACAGGGTAGGGGCGTGAACAATATGTACTATGTCCCGGTAGTGGAAGCGGTAATGTGACCTGTTAAATTCAAAGTAAAGTTGCTTATCGCTAGATTTGTTTCTTTTTACTGGCAATGAAACATAATATGCTTCTAGACGTCAATAACCATAAGAAAATAATTTTGCAAGCATTTTCTGTCGTCCGGTTTTGCTATTTCGAGTGAAGGGATTTCAGCCACGTGACCAGATATTTACCATTTTCAACAAAATCTGAAATATAGCTTAAATGAGGTTTTTCTGAATCTAAGATGACATTTGCTTTTTTGTGTGGGTGAAAGGGCTGATGTACAAAAAAAAATTGTAACCTAGCAAAAAGTGACCTGTTTTTTGATATATGTATGAAATCGGAACCAAAAGTCTAAAAGTTGTTTAATTGCTCTCAAAATGTTTGTATGATTCTTCCATTCAGTCTTTTGTTAACCCCGAGTTTTTAAGAAAAATAAATAAAGTCAATTCACTTGATTTACGGAAACAAAAAAAGCTGAATGGGGTAGAACTAATGAATACAAAATGCTTGCAAGGGCAATACTCTTATTTGAGAGTCATACAAACAATTTGAGAGCAATTAAATCATTTCAAAAAATAGGCCACTTTTAAGCTATATCCCTAATTTCGCAGAAAAATTTAAATATCTGACCACCTGGCCGAAATCCCTACATCGGAAGTGGCAAAACCGGATTGTTATTGAAGTCTAGAGGCATATATTTCATTGCCAGCAAAAATAGAAAAATCCGTCGATAATCTACTCTGTCTTTCACATATCACATGATAGCCCCCACCAACGGGGCATAGTACATGTTGTTCTTCTCCCTCTCCTGTATGCAATTACAAAGAACAAGCAAAAAATACGACGTCCCACTTGTAGTCTAATGTATAGGTATTCTATATTTATAATTAAAACAATCTTATACAACAACAAAATAACAGTGAAAGTTTTGAATTTTATGGTATGCAACTTCATAGCTATGAAATTGATATGCTTGAAGAATTTGTTTGTACTATCGCATAAGGAAGACAACAATGAAATAATAGATTATGAAATAATGTTTTATATCTATATATTGGTAGGTATTGTTATCTATAGATAGTGCAATATTATAATGAATAAATGCTATCTGAATTTTAATGAATTTATACAGAGGAATATACATTTGTTTTTTGTTCTAAACTGGTTCAACCTTCACCCTATTTAATACCTCACAATTTAAGTATTAAGTTGGATTTTATTTGTCTTCACTATGTTTATGCTTATGTTATTTTCTCTAAACAGGTACATTGAAATATATTGATAACTTTTATGTTAATGATGTGAATGTCTCTTACAGAAGTAAATCAGGCTGACTAAACACACCTTTAGGAAACTAAAGTACCTTACTGGTTTATCTATTGTCACGTCCAGTAAAATATTAAAAAATCATTATTAAAATTCATTAAAATAAATTATTATACTTTTAAATAAATCCTAGAATAAAATAATTATCTCTAATAGAAAATCTCAATAATCTCTTAAATGTAAATATATCCTTAAGTAAATAATATCGTATACATTTCATAACAAAAACATAGACGTTGAACCACTGATCTGTATTATTTTACTGGATAGGATATAGCCCCCTAAAAAACGTTCCGAAAAATTGGCCGATTTGGGCAAATAATATGGCGGACCGGATGTTATTTAACGTAACCTCTATTTTCATTTGTCATCACATTTGTCATTTAATTGTGTCAACAAGCTACGATGAGATGTTTTTATTGTGAAAAACAAAGTAAAAAGAGTATGAAATAAACAATAAACGTTCATTCCTGAAGACACAATATGCTTCACGTTTCCATTATTATATTTTCTTTCATAAAAAATCAAATCATGGGTGAATTTTCCCGAAGGACATCGCCCGCAAAAGGAAAAGAAGAAGAATAAGAAGAAAAACTAATCAAATTATAGGTTAGGTATGTCAAATTATCCCATATTTCAGTTCTGTGAACCCACCATAATTTGCCCAAATCGGCCAGCATTGTTGCACTTCCGGTCTCCTTGGTGGAACGGTTTTTTAGTATGTTAAATATAGCCTATATCCTATCCAGTAAAATAATACAGATCAGTGCGTTGAACTATTACCGACCTGCATTAATTGTGTCGAATTAAAGAAATAGC